TGCATTGTGGGTAGGGTTTGGATGTGATTCAAATCTGGTAGATAATATCCAATTATGATTAATTTAGCTTTATTTAGTGATATTATGATGAATTCATGTGATTTCTACGATGAACCCTAATCTAAATTGATGAATGTGTGATCTTTGTGGGTTTATGCCATTAGAGGCAAAATTGAAGGTTAAAAAGTGATCTTCCTATTTCAATGTTTTGAATACTAATTGATCATAGTTAGGATCATCTAATAATGAATTGAACTAGACTTGATTGAATAGGAAGGATCTTGACTTGTGAAGTTAGAATTGAACCTTTATGATCAAGTATGACTAGAATCACCTTCTAATGAAAAATGTGATTGAGTAACTTGTAATTTAGACATGGATCATGATAGAATGAAGTTAAGCTTGAAAATAAGGCTTGTAGACATCATTATTAGGGCTTTGGGGGTAAAGTCAATATGAGGTGATCTTGATTGAGTATTCTCTTTCTCTTATACAATTAGACATGAACAAGCTAGGAGAATCAAGTTCTCTTACATAGAAGGATTCTAGGTTGACTTAAGAACCTAAAGTGAATCAAAGCACGTTAGACTAGAATAGCTTGAAGTTATGATATATGATCCCTTCATGTGTAGCTTGACTTGACAAGACAAAACCAAGATATGATAGCTTGAAATTGAGACTTGTGTTTCCTTCATGTATAACTTGGCTTAGTAGGATAAGACCAAGGTTGATAGCTTGGGATGGAGGATCTATACTCTTAAGGGATAGCTTGACCTAGCATTGTAGAATGTATGTCATGGTAGCATGAGTTAGTAGTAGTCATGGTAGCCTAGGATTGAGGATTTATACTCTCTTATGGGTAGCTTGAACTAGCATTGTTAGGATGCATTCATGGTAGCTTGACTTAGTTTGTCCAAGACTATTTCAGGATAGCTTTGGGATAGAAGACTTATACTCTCTTAAAGGTAGCTTAGGATTGAGGATTCATACTCTCCTAAGGGTAGCTTGACTTGCATTGTAAGGTGCATTTCAAGGATAGCTTGAGTTAGGTTAGTCAAGGTAGTTTGGGATTGATGACTCATACTCTCCTAAGGATAACTTAGGGTTGAGATCATACTCCCCTATGGATAGCTTGCATTTGTAACCTAGTACACTTGTAAGGGTAGCATGACTTAGTTGGTTTAGGACTATTTCATGGTAGCTAGGATAGGACACTTGTACATTTCCTAGAGTAGCTTGGACTTACATGTTAGTTTGTCTTCCAAGGTAGTTAGCTTAGCTTAACCTAGTTATGTTAGTAAGATGATAGCATGGTCTAGCCTATTAGGGGGTTATTCCTTGGTAGCCTTGAAGAGGTAATAGACTAGAGGGATTAGTCCCTAACTAGTGAACATTCATGATAGTCTAAAGAAATACTTAGTGTGGGTAGTAGTATGGGATGCTATCCATACATGGCACAAGTATGAATTAGGGATGGTTGTGAAAGGTTCTCTTATGTAGTATGACTTAGCTTGGGTTGTTGTCATAGTTGCCTTCCAAGATATGATTGAATAAGGTGGTAGTTCTCTTGTCTATATGAAGTAAGCTTATAGTAAGACCAAAAGGAGGATGAATATGACTAATATGATTTCAAGGCTATGCTTAGAGTGAATGATAGTATAGGATGCCTTTCATGCATTGCACAAGTATGTCTTGAGGTTCCTTAGAAGTATGGTGCCCTTATGGTAGAAAAACTTATGACTTAACCATGCATGTAGATTATGATTAAGATGACTAAAAAGGGATACTTGGCTTGGGTAGTATTATGGGATGCTATTCTTGCCTTGCACTTGTATACTTTGAAGTTACTTGAAAATGGTGCTATTATGGTATGGATGACCAAAGGTCAATTATGTTGATATGTTTATGACTTATATCCTATGCTCATTAACTATGTCTTATGTTGACTTATGTTTATATGATGCTTATGTTGGAGACCATGCTATGACTATGTTTATATCTCTTATGCTTATGTCTTATGTTGACTAACCATTTGAGATCTCTTATGATTGTTGTGCTAGCTTTCATACTTGGTACATTTTGTACTAACACATATTGCCTACATTCTAACCAAATGTAGGGTCTTGGAGATTTGAGTTGCTATGGAGGCTAGGTTTCAAGGATCTAGAAGAGTTGAAGATCTTGGTGAGTCCTCATAGCTTCGAGGACAACATCCACTTTACCTTTATGTCATTTCATTATGCTTTAAGACTTTGTATGGGCTGCGTCCCAAAGACTTTTAATCGTGAGTTTAAATAGATGGTTTGAGAGAAAGGTTTTAGTAAGACTTTCGCTTGTTGCTTTTATGAAATATGACTTTGATTGTAAAAGTTTTAAATTGTTCCATATTTTCAATTTTATTACCTATGTTATGATGCAAAGGGCTTGTATTAGACCCCTTCGGGGTCGAGTACGTCATGTTACGTCTAAGGGGTACTCCTGGGTCGTGACATAATTTTAGAAAAACTAGGAAATCAATCAATTAATTAATAAAAAGTGTCTATGAAACTAGTAGATTATAGGTATGGGGTTCAAGTTATTTTGAAGGGAAGGTATTAGGCATCCTTCGAAATCTACAATTGTCGGTCCCAACTGAATTCATTTTTTTCACATTGAGGAGGAGATAAAAACAATATATAAGTGTAATAAACGTGTGATATATATAAACAATAAAATAAAACAATAATATAAAAAACGACCTAAGGATTGCCTAATATCAATAATATACACAATAATGAAAAAAATAATTCGAACTCCATTTGAGTAGCTTCCTTGAAAAGTAACTCTAGGTACCTGTAAAGACACTTAGGGTGTGTTTGGTATGAAGGAAAATGTTTTCTTGGAAAACAAGTGAATTTCTAACTTATTTTCTTGTGTTTGGTTAGTGAGTAGAAAATATTTTCTCAAAAATATTTTTTAATGTTTGGTTGGTGAACGAAAAAATATTTTTTAGAAAATATCTTTTATTTTTGGCTCGAGACTAAAAAATATTCTTTAGGAAAATAGTCAATGATCCTAAAATCAACCCCGATAATTGATCTAGGACCCGACCCCGACACCCAAACTAGGACAAGACTCGATGACCGTTCCAAAATCCGACCCTTGAACCTGACCCTGACTTTCGACCCAGGACTTGACCTAGGAAAATTTTTTCAAAATTATTTTTAAACAATAAAAATTGACAGGGTCGCTGGGGGTTGGGGTTGGCAGAAAAAATGATTTATTTTAAAATTTGAAATATTTTTTTTAAAAACATTTTTTCTTAAAATGAAATTGTTTTAAATTTGGAGGGAGTGACAATTTGAAATACTTCCCAAAAATAATTTGTTTTTTTAAACAAAATTGATGGGGCGGCGGGGGAGAGGGTGGTCTTGTTTGGGGGGAGTGGCGTAAAAAATAAATAAAATAAAATTTTAAATATTTTTCAAAAACATTTTTTGGGGGGTGGGGGTAGGGGTTGGGTGGGGTAAAAAAATGTTAAATTTGAAATATTTTAAAAAAATATTTATTATATTTTTTTCTGATGGAGGAGGGGGGGTGGGGGTTGGGGTAGGGATAAAAATATATTTGAAAATTTAAAAAATATGAAATTCTAAAAAAATTAATTTTTTTTGATTGAGGAGGGTCGTGTACGAGGTACGGGGAGGGTCGGGTACGGGATATGGGTAGGGTAGAGTAAGAAAAAAATATTAAAGGATGAAGTAAAGTTTTGGAAAATGTTTTTCTTAAATTTGGAAGGAAGTTATTTTCCTTAAATTTGAGGAAAATGAGTTGATTTGAAAAATATTTTTCAAACATTTTAAGTCAACCAAACATGAGGAAATTGAAAAATATTTTCCTCCATATCAAATACACCCTCAGTATAAGTGTTAGTAAAAACAATATATATGATAACGTTTTATATGTTAATGCTCATTTTGTCCATATGTGATTGTCATGTTGAACTGCCTAGGTGGACTGTTATGTCATCTTATGTATTGAGATAGTAGTTGTGTGGTGGACTACCACCTCGAGGGATGAACAAGGAAGAATAATATTATTGAGAGGAAGGTATTTTTGTCATGTTGGACTGCCTGGGTGGACTATCATGTTAGCTCTAATGACAAAGATAACATTTTAAGGATATTTATGGTCCAAAACATAGACGGCAAGAGTAATTTTGATCCCAAACATAATTATAAGATATATATAAGTTATTCGAATAGTTCGAGGGTAATTTTGACCCTTTTCCATAGTGTTTTTTGTTGTGCTACTAGAAATTAGTATATAACTTAATTTATCAAATTTTAAATATAGAAAACCTTGGGAGCTAGCAGATAGCTAGATTTTTTTTTATCAAAGAAACTTCAGTTACTACCTTGCTGATAAAATCATTAGCAAAAAAATCGACATAGTCTAACTCCGTCAAGCTTGTATGAGTACTGAAGAAGTATAGAGCACTTTGGTTGGTTGTTGACCAATAGAAGGCGTGGGAGAAAAAAACCAAATGCAAATTCTTAGAAATGAAAGAGATCATAGTGATCGATGGTACTTTGAAACTCATAAAAACAAAAAAACTTTGATGAGTACTTTTTTTTTTATGACAAAGGAAACCCGTAGCCGCTACCTTTTGGGTGCGCACAGGGTAAAACCCCCGATCCTATGCAATAGCTCGTAAATCACATAGGAGAGCTAACCCGCTCTAGGCAAGCCTGGTGCGAAGAGCTCGACCCAGAAGGCAAATCCCTTGCTTTCGCTGGCAAGGAGTTTCGAACTTGAGACCTCCAACATGGAAGTCCCAAACCCAAACCACAGGGCCATACTGTTTTTATCTCATGGTCCTCTTCCTACCGGTGTACGTTGATCGTTATTTGAGTCCTCTAAAGAAAGCTCCATGTAATGGCTTGGCAGGACAGTGCTAGCTACTACGTGTATAAAATTCGTCTTATACACGAGAACAACCACTTTACTCTGGTCAAATGCTTGAAACCGATCTCCATCATGTTTATGCCAAATCAAGCAAATTCAGTATTCTTGAGTTTTAATAACTTTTAGGGTGAAACAAGAGAGCCAACATGAACAACCGCCTTGAAGGACCGTGGCATTCCAGAAATACGAAGTTCACGTAGTGTTTTGGTCAGAGGATTGTAACAAAGCAAAGTCCCACCATGCTGCAGCATCAACTCTCCATTTCTCTGAAAGAAAAGAGGCTGGACAGCTCCAATGATAAGCCCAACTTCACTACAAACTATTTTCAAACGCTTTGTCCACGACTCCTTAACACCATAATCCTTCATTACCCAAATCTCTACATAATCTTGACACTTACGTCTAGTAGCCGATAGACAACCTTGCAAAACACCCAACGTATAGTTGAGTCTTCCCGAATCAAAATCGGGATGAGGAATGACTCCAAACACCTCATTTTCCAAATCAAAACCAACAATTTGATCAACAAGTTTAGGACCATCATAGCCAGAACTAACCCAATGAAGAGCTTCATTCACACATGCCCCAGACAAATCCCTACCGCGAAGTGAATAAGGAGATGAACTGTTACATCTCCATGAATCATCCCCAATAGTATATACACAAACACCAGACCTCAAATCATCATTATCATCACGAACAATTTCCCTTCTATAATACACAATCTCCACCACCTTATACACATTCCTCTTAGGTAAAAACCCAAACCCCACAACAACATTCACAGGATCCCCCAAATCCCTAATAGGGTTAGGCAAGAAAACAAAATCCCCACTACATGGATTTAGTATATGAGTCAAATACTTAACAATTGGATCAAACAAACATAGTAATCCATTACAAGAACCCAAAATTTCATAATTACTCAAAAGGGGTAATGGGAAATTAAAGTTAACACACTTATAATCATCAGTTCCATCACTCTGTACAAAGATAACTTACTGTGCCAACAAGTTCTGTGAATGGGAATTGAGGTTTTGGGGATGAGACCATAAAAAATTTCATTTTTAGATGAAATTGAGAGATGGGTATCAATCAGATGCAATTCATATGTCAAATAGAGCCAAGATTTACAAACACGCCTGCACTTTACAAGGGATTTGATGGGTAATCTTGAAAGTATGTCAATCACAGTTTCACTTGAAAGCTTTTCCATTTTTTTTTCTTCAGAGGTAAGTTTGAAGATGAGAAGAAACTGTATGTAGATGATTATATTGTTAAAGTTTCAATCTTTTCACTATTTTGCTGAAAAATCTTCTTTGGTTGAGTGTTGCCAAAGAAAGAAAAATTGAAGTCAAATTATGATAAGTTTATGGACAAGTACGAATTTGAGCAGATATCTTGATTCTTGAGTATTTATGATATTGTTAGGATGGTTTGGTTGGAAACAAGTTATTCCAGAATTAGTTATCCTGGGTTAGCTGTTTTGGGATAACTTATTCTATTATGTATATGAGATAACTTATTTCATTACTATGATATAAATGGTGGAATAAATTATCTCAAACATGATAACCAAACAACATACAACAATTTTATCCCATCAATATTTCTTATCCCATCACTATTTTTTTTATCCCTCACATCAAAGACCCTTAAAGCATTCTCTATTCCAAGGAGCAAGCTGCATTATACCCTGTTTTTAAAGATGAGAAAAAAAGTTTTCTTAGGAATAATTGATTCCTCCACTTTTCGTATTCATTTGGTAGAGTATATAAAAATAATGCAAAATATATCGTATTAGTAATGATTGAATTATGTATGCTTGCATTAATTATGTTAAAACTTTTCTTATACAGTGTTTGATTTGATGTACTAAATAATCATGCATTGCATAAAAAAAAAACAAAAAAAAACATTTGTTTTAAAAAATATACTCCACAAATATAGTGAAAAGGATGTGGAAGGTTTATGAAGGATAATTGTATCTCTAACTATGCTAATGCATTAGAACTCATTGCATTACTAATGCATAGAAATCAATGATATTAGCAATACACCCCTCAATACACAATAGAGTGTGTTACAAATACAAACATTAGTTATACATTAATTGAAAAAGTGTACCAAACAAGATACTAATAATACACAAAGTCAATACATGCATTATTTTCTTCAATACACTCTACTAGACTACCCCTATGGAAGTTATAAAGTGTTAGGTAGTTACTCTGCAAGTTTTTAACATCTTAATTATATCTCTCCTAATCGAACTGAATTAGTCCACATAAGATGAACAACAACCCAAATGAAAAATTTCAACAAAATCTAGTATAATCAATATACATGTGACATACAATGTGTTATATGTATATATACATATTATACCTAATATATACTACTATATATGTGACATATTTTTATATATGTGCATATTATATTTAGGGGTGTACAAAAATCGAACTGACCGATAAATCGAACCGATAAAAGTGTTATTGGTTTATTGTCATTGGGTTATTGGGTTAACAGTTATTTAATGTTTTTTTTTTAAAAAAGTATTGGGTTATCGGTTCTTTATTGGTTTTAAAACAAAAAATATTAATATAATTAGTAGTATATTATACTAAAAATATAAAAACCCTACGCAATAATTAACACTACTTAACAGTTAACTCTCTTCTGTACTTTTAGTTATTTAACCTTTAGATTCTACTTTTTAGTATTACTTATTTACTTTAGTTAGTTTATAATTGACTAATATTAGCTTTTGCACAATTGTAAATATGTGCAATTAATGGAATTCAGATTGTGTTTTTTTAAAAATAAAAAAATAAAGTAAGAACTTCATTTAGTTGAGTCTTTTCTTTATATATGATTTACCATAAGCATGGCCTCATTTGCTACTGTTTTGACTCTAGTCTATGATTTGGTTTTATTTGATTCTCTTTATTGCATAAAGGGGACCTCGTTTTATATATTATGGTGATCGAAAATTGACCAAGACTTTATTGCGATGACCAAAATACAGCATGTTGGTCCCTGTTGTCCCGTTTGTGATGATTATTTCGATGTATGCGTATCACGTCAAATTATTGGATAAGTCATATATTTATTTTGAAATCATTTTCTTATTGGTTAAACCGAAAACCGAACCGTTAAAGACCTAAAACTGATAACAAATATCTTATTGGTTTGTTTATCGGTTTAGCATATTCAAAAACCGAAAACCGATAAACCGAACCAATAATACTTAAAACTGAACCGAACCAACCGATACACACCCCTAATTATATCAACTACTTATATATTTTGGTAAAATCCCAACTCTCAATCTCAAGAATTCTTTCCAATCTCTCAAAGTAGCATTACTATAGTTTGCTTGAATAAATTTATTAATCTCATTGACCCAACATTATTATTAAAGTGATGCACTTGATCTTGTCATTTATTTTCTTGAGATTTTTACACTTTATATTACATGGTTTAAGCTTATAATCAAAACAAGTCCATATTTTAAGATTTTACCTTATGTAGATCATTATCATTTCAATTTTTAAAAATTTGCTATGTTACTTTTTCTCGCTTGATTAATTTCTAGCAACAAATATTACAACTCTGGTTAATAGTCTATAATACATTAATACTTATTTATATTAATTTACGCTTAATATAATTATATTTTATATGCTTTTAAACAAGAACAACATTAGTTTACAAGGTAAACACAATGGAACAATACTTAAATGTTGTCAACCGATTAAGCCTAGTAAATTTAATTTTTTAAAAATAATAAAAAGTGATAGTCATATTTATCATTAAAGATTAACGTGAAAAAAATTTAATTTATTTTTAGAGATTGGTGCAACTTTTTTGATGTATAATTTATACTTTTAAATATATTTTTAGTGTCTAATGCAATTTTTTGTGTTGCATATTTTAGAATTTGATGAAACATTTCTAGTGCTTATGATTAATTTTTTTGTCCAATGTTTTCGTCAAACCTAACGAATAAAAAATGTTAAAGTTTTGACAGAGACTAAAAATATTAACATAAGGAATTGCTCATATGTTAAGCACCCTCTATCTCCAGCTCTAAAGTTATGAGTTTGAGTCACTAAGAGAGAATAAAAAGAATGAAGGATCCTAAAGAAGGATTAAAAAAAAAAACTAAAAGTTTTAATTTCTGACCAACTTAAAAATCTAAAAAGGAAACTGCAAAGTATATATTTAAGAAACTATTTTAAACAATAACTTAAATGTAAGGGATCATTTTTGTGTTTTTTTGGGGGGGTTATATTCAACGATAATTATGTAGAAATATTAATTTATTTAAGTAATTTGGTTAATTTTTAATTAAATCACGAATACCCCTAATGTAAGGGTTTAATTTATGGGATGAGAGGGAAATGGAACAAAAGTAATAATACTAAGGACCCATTTGGTATGATGGATAAAGAAAGATATTTGAGATAAAAAAAAAAGAGCAATTAACATATTATTTTATTAATCACCAACTAAAATATTCAAAACCGAGCTAACCATTACCCTGGTTGCTCCTCATAATATCCTTATAGTAACCTAAGAAACTTTAAACACATAAATCGTATAATGAACATATAGTTTCATAAAGATTCATATTGCCCCTAACTCATATACATGTTTTTCTTTATAGTATAAAGCAATGACTCTTTTGTTGTGGTAACTTGCTGGAATATCCTGTCATTTCTCTCACACCAAATCTCATAAACCACTCCTGTAAAACAAGCTTTTAGAAGAACCTTATGTGTTGAGCTGATTTTGTTGTTGTTATGTGCCCAAGTCCATTCTTGGTCTTAAGGAAGTATATGTCTTTGTCATTCCAATCATCTCAATGTACCCTGCTAGATGTGGTGAGAGTATTCACAATCGAAGAAGAGGTTGTGCAGTGATTCATCGTGCTCACATCTTTGATTCTAAGGCTTTATAAAAGTGTCAGATGAAGGTTTGTTTAGGGCTTGCTGCATTATAGCAGACCAAACCTCTCCATGGAAAATTTGTAACTGGTCCTCTTTGGATCTTATATGCGTTTTTTATCATAAACTTATCACTTCTAATCAATTGATTATGATTTGTAAGCAGGTCTAGTATTTTCTCATATTGAAGATCTAAGCCTGTTTGGGAACCTCCATTGTGAGCCAATTTTGATGTTTTATGTAGTAATCATGAATCTAGGAAATCCACATTTTCTCCTTGCTCTTACTCAGAGCCCACATTAACGTACATACAACGGCGTGATTCCATACTTTTAAGTTGATGAAGTTCAGACCTCCAACTCCTTTTGGTAAACAAATCTTCTCCCAAGTTACCATAGCCCTTCTAGAGATTCTAGCTTCACCTGTCCATAAATAGGGTCTGCAAGCTGCCTCAATCAGTTTAATCACCTTTTGAGGAAGTAGAAAGATAAATTGTTTATATCTCTTCATCTCTTGTTTTTGATTGTTTGAGACTGTTTAACCCAAGATTGGTACTCCTCTGGCCTTAATTACTTGTCCATTTTTCCTTTTTTAGTTGTTCCTAATTACTTATCAATTGTGACAATAATAAATCAAGAAAAAATAATTTTTTTGACCTATTATACCCTTAATTAATTATTTTGGAAAAGGTAGAACTCTTGAAAATCTTAAATTTATAATTCACGCACTTCATAATTATTAGGGGTAAAATGATAAACTCATTATGTCAATTATTGTTTTCTTAATAAGTGTGTCAATTCAAAAGTGGACAAGTAATTAGGTACAGAGAGAGTACTTGATGAGTTATCCTTTCCTCTAGGTGGAACAACAATTATGAGATAACTTATTCCGAGATGAAATAGTTAAAATAACAAAAATATCCCTCAAATCCTTTTTATAGTCACTTTCACATATTTTACATCTATAGAGAATATTTTATCGTAAACAAATAACTTATTCTTAGAAATTATGTAAGATATGTTATTTTATACAATGAATTAAATATTCACTAAGAAATAGTAGTACTAAAGTAACTAATTCAATCGTAACCTGTCATTTTTTTTTAGGAAAAAGGATAAATATACCCTCAAACTATTGTAAATGGTATGTAGACACCCTCCGTCATACTTTTGGGATATTGGTGCCCCTGCCGTCCAAAAACTAGAGCATAAATATCCTTTATACCTAACAGATATACACGTGTCATAATTTTATCCGCCGACCCAATGAATTAGATTGCACCACGTGTCCCTATTTAGTCTTCCTTTAGAGCGGAGGGTATATATGCTCTAGTTTTTTGACGGCAGAAGCACCAATATCCCAAAGTATGACGGAGGATATCTACATACCATTTACGATAGTTTGACCCCTTTTTTTTAAAAATAAATGAAAAGTTATGTTATTAATGTTAATATCTCTTAAAAAAGGGACATATTGGGTAAAAAATCTCCAAACTCCTATTAAAACCCCAATTCTTCAGCAGCCCTAAAAAATCCCTTTGCCGCCACACTCCCCAGCCTGTTCGACTCCATAGTCAGTAGCCATGCCGAAGCATTATCGGCCTGCTGTGAGTTTCTACCTTTTGCTTAATTAGTTAAGTTTCGCCTTTTTTTTCTTTCAATTTGGATATAATTTTTGTATGTTGTTTTACAGGGGAAGAAAAAAGAAGGAAATGCTGCAAGATATATTACAAGGTCACAAGCTGTGAAATATCTTCAAGTCAGTTTATCACTGTTCAGGTATTCCCTTTTTCTCTCTGTTTACTGAATAAGTTCTTGTGATTTGGTCTTAGAATGTTCTTGTATTTGAAAGATATGATTTTTATAGTGTATCTACTGAGTTTGAGCTATTGGTTGTATAAATTCAGTGGCGGAGCTAGGTTGAAGAAAGGGGGTTAAAATTATACTGTTCAAATAGGAAAAAAAAGGATTGTTTTTGGTTTGTTTTTGTGTAAACTGTTTTTTGGTCTCTCCCCTTTTCTCTATATTTATCCTTTTTGTTGAGAAGAACAAGTTCTTGTGGTTAGGTCTTAGATTTTATGGCGTATCTGCTGATTTTGATCTATTGGTTGTATAAATTCTGTGGTGGAGCTAGGTTGATGAAAGGGGGATTCATATTATACTGTTCAAATAGGAAAAAAAGGATTTTTTTGGTTTGTTTACATATAAGCTGTTTTTTGGTTTGTTTACATATAAGCTGTTTTTTGGTCTCTCCCCTTTTCTCTCTATTTATCCTTTTTGTTGAGAAGAGTAAGTTCTTGTGGTTAGGTCTTAGATTTTATGGTGTATCTGCTGATTTTGAGCTATTGGTTGTATAAATTCAGTGGTGGAGCTAAGTTGAAGAAAGGGGATTCAGATTGTACTGTTCAAATAGGGAAAAGGGAATTTTTTGGTTTGTTTATATATAAGCTGTTGAATCGCCTTGACATAAGAAAAAAATATAGTGAAGTGGCAAAGGGGTTCAAAAATTGCTACTTTGAATTAGTTGTATGAATATCTGGCTTTGGCACTTCTTGTGTTTTTATTATTGAGGTATAAGCTTTGTTGGTGTCTTTATTAGTATGCAGTTAATGTCAAAAAGTTTCAGACTTTAATTTGCATGGAAGGGATTTAGGGATGACTCAATTCTGAACTAGTTGGAGTCGGTTTATATGTGTCTGTTTTAAGCAGTTGGCTCTACTATGGCTTTCTTTAGGGAAAGATTATTTACGACCTTTTATTGTTATATGTGGATACAGGAAGCTATGCATCTTGAAAGGTATTTTCCCCCGTGAACCAAAGAAGAAGGTTAAGGGAAACCACCATACCTACTATCACACCAAAGATATTTTGTTCCTTAAACATGAGCCCTTACTTGAGAAGTTCAGAGAAATGCGAGCATATGAGAAGAAGATTAAGAAAGCAGTCTCAAAGAAGAACCGGGATCTTGCTGAACGCCTGCTAACTCGCAAGCCCAGTTATACCCTTGACATGCTTATTCGAGAGAGGTTAGTTTATTCGATCGTAGACATCATTGTTTTACAAGTGAGCCAGAAGCATGTCTGGTACTTAACTACTATTGTTTATCATGATTGTTCTAGGTACCCTAAATTCATTGATGCACTTAGAGATTTGGATGACTGCCTTAGTATGGTACACTTGTTTGCTGCATTACCTGCTGTAGAGAGAGAAAAGATACCGGTCAACCGTGTCCATAACTGCCGAAGGTGAAGCATTTTTTTTCAGGTCTAGTTGGTAGTGTTATTTGCTTTTACCTATATACATACTTATCAACCGTACTCTTATGATGGATTAGGTTGGGTCATGAATGGCAAGCCTACATTGCTCGCACTCATAAACTAAGGAAAACATTTATATCAGTGAAAGGAATATATTACCAGGTATTATGACTTCGTAATTTGTTTAGTTCCCACGAACATGGTGATATTTTTTTCTTAGCTTGATTTACTAGTTGCTCTCTGCAGGCAGAAATAGATGGGCAGAAAATCACTTGGTTGACTCCACATGCATTGCAACAAGTGCTTCCTGATGACGTTGATTACAACATCATGCTGACTTTCTTGGAATTTTATGAGGCCAGTAACATTTGTATATATCATTATTTTGAATTTGTATTTGTGGTATTTGTTGCTTGTAAGAGTAATTCTGCTTAAGAGCCTCTATAGTTGAAGTCTTGATCATTTCCTTGAGTCTGCAATTTTTGCTGGAGAGTTGAGCAGAATATAATTTGTATTGGTGAGCCATCTTTTTAACTGCATACCTGTACAAATGCAAACTTGGCCAGTATATTGAGAGTGAAATAGAAAAAATATGCTCTCTTGCTCATTCTCTTGCAATTGTGTGCAAATACTAGTTAGTTGGAAGTGAACTAGTATTTGGCAAAGTTGTATGCCTCTCCCTTGAATTTGATTAGGGAGAGCATTTTGCTTGCTTCTATCTCAGTCTTTCATAGATTTACATTGGTGGAGTTAGATGCATCTGTGTATTTACCTTTTCAAGAAAGGAGTTGTATGCTACTCATTGAATTTAAAAGAGAGAGAGAGAGAGAGAGGGAGAGTATTTTCTTGCTTCTATGAGTTGATTTCTCCAATATGTTATTATCTTATAATTGTTGAGTTTAACATGTTAAATTTTTCGAATGCAGACACTCCAAGCTTTTGTTAATTTCAAGCTTTACCATTCAATTAATGTGAAGTATCCTCCCATTCTTGATCCTCGGCTTGAAGCTTTAGCTGCCGGTAAGATTTCATCTTTTCCTTTTTACTTCATTTTTTATCAGCTGTTAACAAAATTCTCACATTTTCTACAGATCTTTATGCATTATCTAGGTACTTCGATAACAGAGCCTCCATGACAGAGTCAACAACTACTAGCTTCTCTGAATCTGATGTGAGTAAGGACCAAGGAAAGGGGCCAAACTATGACGAATCTGAACTTAGACTTGCTCAACTGCAACAACAGCTTCCTTCCAATGAGCCAGGTGCATTAATGCACCTTGTTCAAAATGCTGCGGAAACTGATGAAGATGATTCCGAAACCAGGGAATGCAAAACACTTTTCAAGGATGTCAAGTTCTTCTTGAGTCGTGAGGTGGGCGGTGTTTCTTTTAAAGTGAAAATAATATAATTAAAATGGTGGTTTTTGTAATATGAAGAAACTTATATTTTCATTTTGATAAAATATATATAAAGAATTTTATATTGATAAGAATTTTTTTTTTCCTTTGTGTCCATCTTTTTCTGCTATCTTCGTTCATTTCAAACTGTAGCTGGAAAAAGGGAGTGTGGTGGTTTGTCATTCTGTGATAGCATGGGAGCACTTTAGTAAGGGAAGTTCAAAATATAAATGTTATCTGGATGAGATTCATAGTAGAAAATTGCATTTACTCCCAATAGATGATCATTTAATTGCATCAACATGGAAATT